AAAGGAAGAAAAAGGAAAAATAGAACCAAACAATCAAATCATTTTCAGCATTAAAACCAATTTTAAATGCGACAGTATATTTTCTTGCCGACACGAAAACTTAAGAAAATAGACAGAAATCTGCATTGTTTCACCTATCAATATACGACAAATGGAAAAACGATACAAGAAAAAGTAAATTTGAAAAAATTTGCGAAAGCGGAATAATTTCGAATGCTGCACAAACAGAAAGATACCATGCAGAGACATTGGATTTTTTTCGAAGCAAGAAATGCGAAAATTCAGCAGTGCCCTCATTGTGCTTCTAATAAGGAGGTCTTCCAAATTCTAGCTGGAAGGACTTCCATTTATAACAAGATAGTGAGAATGGCATAATTCCTTATTATTTGTTTTATTTAAAGGGCGAGAGAGAGAAGAAGCACGAGGCACTGTCGGAATAATTCATGTGTTAACGAATTATCGTCTGACATGTTTTCGTTGGGGTGCCATTGAAGAGACATAGCGTTTTTACGAGGGAAAAAAAAAAAAAAAAAAAAAAAAAACACGAAAAATCCGTTATCCTATCAGCGGAATACGCACCACAGGCATTCCGACTGATAGTCCGATCTACTATCACTTACACCCCGAGTTCAAATTCTAGCTGGAAGAAGCTCCATTGAGCAATTTCCAGCTCAAAGAAGAATGAGATAATTTCTCATAATCAATACGGATATATAACTGATGATTCTAAAATTTTATTATCATTAAGACTGGAAAAAATACACGATTTAATTCATTTTCATACATTTTAAAAGAAGTTAAATTTTTCAGAGAGTTACTATAAAATATTTATTAGAATGTCAAATTTAAGCATTTCAATTATTTATATAATAAAGGATAAATTTTATATTTATATAATAAAGAAAAATCGTTGATAATATCACTCTGATTTTAGTGGAGATATTTTAAGAAGTGAATAAGTGAAAGCTGGAGGAAGAAAAACTATTTCAAGTTATATGTTTATCTTAAAAGTAACGAGAGAAAAACAATGTTAAAAGAAAAGGCACGCATATCGAAATTGTTTCCTGTACTGCTGACAAATTATTATATGGCATGCATACTATAATGTTCATGAATAATTGATTGCTACTAGATTAATACAGGCATAGCATATTTCTAGGGACTGATTTGTTGTAATTCCCAATTTGATTTTTACATATTTTTATATTTAGGACACTAATTACATCACACTGAAGATTACTCATTGCAATAATTCCATTGCAGTTTTATAGAAAATTATAAAATTTTCAGTTTCAATAAACAAATATATAATATTTCGATGACTCAGCAGGTAACATAATTTATTATCTTTCAAGTTTTTTTGAAAACACCTCGGCAGATATAGAATCAGCCGCAGACTGTACTAACTTTAACAAGCGCAGTATCTGATTGTTCACATTTCTGTTTATAACTGCAATAAGAACAAGTATAAGTTTGAAAAGTTTACCAATGGCTATGTGGATAAAAGAGATGATCATAAGTATTTTGACCTGGTTTTGGTTTCTGGTCAATACGTTGGCTGTAAGGAAGATTTCGTGATTTTTTCCATGTGAACTAGTTTTCTTTATAAATTCCTCTAAGTCTTTCGTTAAGTACATACAAAGTTGCTACATTAAACATTAGTAAGTGTTTACATAGGTAAACATTTTAAAAGCGACTAGCGTAAAGAAAGATTATTTAAATTATGTTTTTAAAAATGCAAATTCAGAACACTGAAAACCAAACAGTAAACATTATAAGACTAATTTAATAATCTTTGGTTTGGTTTACTTGAAATCTTTACTTAAAAAAACGTTGAAATTTACAATGTTTACAACAAACTATTATTCTGCCATATTCATCGATTGCGTTAATCAAAATCTAAAATTATTTAACGTAAAATGTAATTATCCGAAAATTATGTAAAATGAGAATTTTTTCCCACTATATCTGTAGCTTACAATGGCTAGAAAAAAAGATAGCTCTAGATAATGAGTATTTCTACAATGAAAAAACTCTATTGACTAGAAATAGTCTTTGGAGACCTTAGTGTCAGTTAGCCTGTGGAGGTCAGGTTCCCTTCCAAGTCGTTTTCTTTTCCCAGGAGGCAGGGGTAGAAAGGATTCTTCCCGATTATTATTACTTTTAGCAAAGACGTTTACAATTATCTATTCAATCCTTGCTAATCAGACGAATTTGAGAAGAAAGGGAAAGTTGTAGATAAATTTTGCTTCTTCCAGTGCCAGTTACAAATCGTACAGTTGTTCAATAACATTTGAACTATCATTAACGTTGCATATTACTAAAATGTACTTGTTCTTTAAAGTCCTTGATCTGTTCTAAAAATAATACCGCAGAAGTTTCAGAAGTGAAGTACAGTTTAAAGCTACTTAACATTTGTATGCATATAAAGAAGTAAAACTGTTTAAAATGCATATAGTTTAACGCTTCCTGTTTTATTTGGAATAATATTTCAAAAATAAAACTCGTGTTGGTTACGACCCAAGCAATACTTAACGGGATAAAGAGCCGTACTTTGATCATGCATTCAGTTTTCGTCGTTTTAATAAAATCCATTATGATACTTATGCTGGTAATTATAAACTGCATTTACCGATACAGAAGTATGATTAATACACTAATATCACAGAATATACGCTTTTTATGCTCTGACAAGTTTTGTCAAGATACCAATTTTTAGTTCATATACAAGTCGTAAATTCCCTAGCCAGATTCCTTTTTTTATATAAATAGATGCATAGAGGACAAAATGGAACAGTTAATTATATTTTTTATTCTTTTACAAAATTTAATTCTTTTAGATATAATTTTTAACGGTAAACGATATTCTGTATAATACAAAAATTATTACTACTAATAATTTTTATCCTAATATTTATATCCTAATTTAATAATATTTATATCCTCATTTATATCACTCAAAACAGAATTGGAAAACTCATTCAAATCATATTTAATCAAAACATTTTACGAAGTTATGGGAAAAAGGAATTTTGGAGTTAGTTTGATTTTTAACGGTCAATTCAATCATTAATACATTTTTACCGTGTTTCCTCATTCATAAAACATTAGCAAAATAATTTACTAAATAATTCTTAGATGTAATAGTATTCTTGTTTATCTTTCGTTATACGACTAAAAATAAATAAAAAAGCGGCTGGTATTCAATATTTATTTTTATTTAATTACAAATACTTGGCTATTGGTACTCAAGACATAGTCTTTCCATATTATCACTTTTCTATTCGGCCTTGAAATTATGTTAACGACCTAATAGAATTCGGAAAATCCTATGATTGCATAAAACTGCGGGAGGTGCTAATAATGACAAATTTTAAATGAAAATAGAAATTTATTTAAATAAATTTATTTAAATTCTATTTGTGCGTGTCTGCTTTATGCATTTAATCTATCAAATGCAGAAAAGTGAGAAAAAATCCATCCAAGACAGAGAAATAATTCTTCTAGTCTGTGCTAAGATTGTATCAAATTCATTTAAACTTCCGTTTAAATTCGAAATGCGATCTCTCAAATCAACGAAGGAATACATTTTTGGCTTTAAATTCCACATTAGTAGCAACTGCATAATAGCTAAACGTATCCAAAATATTTGTAGAAAACCGCCAAAATTCTAGAAATTGCTATAAAATCCCGAAAAATATTAGGAAGATTTTGCTTGCCATTTCCATGCTGAAAAATCAAGCGTTTACGAGGATGAGCTCGACTGTTAACGAACAACTTGTGGAAAAAATTCAACGCTAAAATATAAATACGTATGCCAAATTTTCCAAAAATTCCTGATAAATATCGTACTCTCATCGTAAATATATATGGACTTATAATGTGATGAACACAGTCGGTAAAAGAATGGATTAAAATTTAATTTCCAAAAATAAATTGGCGTACTAAAACTAAATAAAATAGATTAGTAAATAGTAAAAAATTGTGTAACAAAATAAATAATGATCTTTCTTAAAATACTGCCAAATAAAACATGTCGAATAATTGAATGTTCACAAGCTTGGAAGCTAAAATTCTAAAAAGATTTCGGAAAATTCGGCCGTCACATGTTAAAAGAAACAAGTCTACAGGCTACTATAGTACAAAGAAAGAGGAGGGAGACGAAACGAAACGCAAGCCATTCAATACCGGGGAGGCAATTTTATGGCTTATCCATCACACTAAGGGGAAGCAAACATACTGCCTTAGGCTGGGCCATCTTAGAGAGATTTCAGAAAACGAAAGTGATTTTTTTGGAGGGGTTTTTTGTCTGACAACGCGGCCATTTTCAAAGCATTTCGTTCTGAGAGGCGGGCTCGTTGATGGGTTAAAGAATATTAACTGAAACTGGATGGCCAAATCGGGCTAGTGAATCTCACTGCTATACCGAAGGGCCCAGGGTCAAATCCCGGAGAAGGTATGGATGTTTGTAAATATATAGTGTTCGTGCGACATGGGAGCACTCTAAATGTGCGGTGAGCCAAAAGTCCTCTGAAAGGTTGGTGGTAGAGGAAGAGGGGTGGGAGACCCTCGGACCCATCTTCCCCCTCCGTGTTACTCTCCTTCAAATTTGGGAGAGGAACTGAGCATACCTATATGGTGCTCAAGGCTCTTGCCAATCACAGATGCAATCTTGCACTGCTTGACAGGATAAATTTTGTGGACTTGTTATGATGTTACTGTCAGTCAAGTGAGATAAGTCACAACAACTTAAATTGGCAACAGCCATTATGAATTAAGAAATTATATTTTTCAGAATTTTTTGCATGATTTCAGTATTAACAAATATGAAATGAATATGAAATTTAAGCTGAAATGATACTACGATTCTTGGATTACTTATTCTTTATATTTTCTGCAAGATATAAACATGAGATCACATGGAAAATATATACATTTTTAACTGAAGCTGATAAAATCAATTTATACATTAAAAAATTATAATATTTATTATACTGCACCATAGGAATTCCAGCTGCATTAAGAAATTCTATCATTTGTTTTTCATCCAAATTTGCACTGTTGAAGTATTCCCGCACTCTACGACGGGTCCACCAGTCAACACTTTTCCTACAGAGTGATACATTATTAGAACCCATCATGCAGTTAAACAGGAATATTATACAACAAATAGGTTATAATATTATACAACAAAACAGGTTCACATAATTTTCTGTCAAGATGTTTCACACTATCATAAACGTATAATTTTTTAAAATGCAGGAATTTTTCTGTCAGTGAAATGATTTATATATACACATACACTCACAGAGAGCATTTTAATTCTTTTACATTTATGTAAATAAAAAGAATATAAGATATGCATATCGTAATTAGAAAATATTTTTTTAAAAAATAAAATATAAACATGCTTAGTATTTTCACACATTAAGCTGCTGAGAAATTATCAGTAAAGACATGAAGAAATTTAGAACTAATTTTTCACAAAAGCTAAAAATTTAAATTCATAGCTAATAAATTTCAAAAAATCCTTTAAATGCTACAAAGAATTTTAAAAATATTAAAACTAAAACTTTCAAACAAGCAGTACTGCAATTAAAAAAATTAATGAAATTTAAAGAAAAAAGAACACAACAGAATAGAATTTCAATGAATTTCAATGACACTTCATCGGGGGTGGGACGGTTTTTCATAAAACACTTTTCGACATAATTGAATGTTCAAGGTTAGTTTTTATAAAACTGTTATAATAATAACAGTCTGCAAAAAATAATAAGCTGGATCAAACTAGAAGATTAAGGAACAGCGCAGTCCGCTACATTAACTGAAATGCCTTAGATTCAGTAAAGATAATTTTAGCCTAGCTTAATAGCGTCCATTATACATTATTGGTTGTGTATCACAAGATTGGCGATGAAAGCCATGCTGTTTCGCTAAATTTTGTCTTGCTCCTATTGCATACTGAATTAAGCCTGAATTGTATTAGTTTAGTCATTTACTACATCTACATTTATTTCTCGTACATGCTTAAACAAATCCGAGTCCTGAATAAATAAATTCCCACATATACTTAACACTTTATCTCGGGCCGGCGCTAAATATTGCCTAGTGCAGTCTCTACGGGTCCTAAATTCTGCTACAAAGCACCTTCCTAAGTTCTAAATTTCCTCCGCACCTAAATTTTGCATCCCAGAGCTTTCCCTAAATCATACAAAACTTCTCATACCTTAATTTTGCCGCTCAGCGCTTCCCCAAATTCCAAAAATTTTGTCTTCCCTAAATTGTGCCACCGCTTCTGGGTTTATGGTGAATAACATATCAGTTATTCTTAATTAAAATAGCACTAAATGTAATCTTTTGGCCTATGAGTTTCATTAACAAAATCTACTTTTAGCATATGAAAAGAAATTTTTGTTGAATTTTTCCTTGTCAACATTTCTTAGAGCATTTAAAAATCTATAATCATCGCCAAGCGTAATGTTAACATACAAGGTTGCCATACTCTTGTTATTCAATTACTAATATAAAAGAAAAGTTTAAACAGCACTGCATGAAGCTGCCACGTATTGATAAACATGCAGTGATGAAAGCAAAATATAATAAATAATGACTCACCAGATCGGCATCAGGGATATAAAATACGTGAATGTTTTGGTTTGAGATGTATGCCAAGCAGATACTCAGCTACGAAGCCAGATTATTAATCTCGCAAATTTATGCTTACATGATTGTTTTTTCATAACGCAGCATTTTATTTAGTGCCTAAGTAAAATTAAAAATCGGAATTTTTAAGTGAAAATCTCCACATGTTTTATTCTGGAAGGAAAAATCAAATGCATGTGCGTTAAGCATATAAAAAAAAAGTTTGTGACTTGGAGATCTGGATTTTAGATCATTCCGGATAATGGACATCCGGATTTCGGACTTTGTACCGTATATACAGTCAAAAGTCGTTAATCCAGAATGATCTATAGTCCAGACCTCAAAGCTACAAACTTTCTGCGCATGCGTCAAAGCATAATGCGTTCACGCATGCGCATAATACATTTACGCATGCACATTTAATGTATAATGGATGGTATAAGCTAAGCTAAAATTATCTAAATATCTATTTCAGTTAATGTTGCAGATTGCGTTTTTCCTTAATCTTCGAATTGGATCCAGCTTATTTTTTTTTTTTGCGGACTGCTAGAGCAATTTTATAAAAGTAAGTTGGAATTTTCGATTACGTCAAATAGAATTTCCGATGCTCGATCTACAAAGGGAAAGCATGTTTTGATGTCCATCATACAAAAATTGGAATTGCTGCAAAAAATGGATAAAGGCTCCTTTGTTTCTCTAACCATTCCGAAATCTGTTTATCAATTTCTCGCTGCTCTGCAGGGTGGGGGGTAGCGGCGCGCAATGAACTGGAAGTTGATCTGTCAGCACTATCCTTATCTTCAGGGCAGATGTTTTTATTTTATTCGGCTTATAATTCCTTACTAAATGTAGTATTTCATCTCGATGAACTCCGTCTTTGATATGATTTAAATCAAATTTCTCGTCATTATAAATATCACGAATACAAATCTAATAGTTTTCTGGTTGCAATTTTCTAATTTCGACTATGCGTAATGTACGCTTTACGCGTGCGCGCGTTGAAAGAAATGTGTAATAAAGTAAACAAATAAATATTAAGCCCTTTTTTTTTGTAAATTTTGATACCCTTTAGATCATAATTGTTCTTTATTTCATAAATTACGGTTTCATATTTTTAATTTCATAATTTCTGCATGCCATCTTACCAGATTTATACTGACGATCTATAATCCAGAAAAATCGATAATCTGGAATCACCAAAGTCCTGATGAGTCCGGATTAAAGACTTTTGACTGTATACATACACTCTTTTGCAAAAAAATCGAAGCACCAAGAACTTTTGCGATCGTGACGAAATTTGGTATACAAAAACATCTTGATCGAACAAGCAAATGATCAAAGTTTCAAGGAAATGAACAGGAATTGCGATCATAGCGAGCATTTCTAGTGTGCAATTCACAAAGTATAAAACTAGTAACAGAGGTGGAAAATTGATCTTTTTTCGTTGCTGCCTATGTAATTCCGTAAAGGAGCTACTGAAGATGCCATTATGACAATACTGAAAACCTTACAGACAACTAAATGACTTTGAATGTGGTCGCAATGTATGTTTGCGTGAAGCTGGGTAGTCATACATAGCAATAGGCCACCACCTGTAGCGTACAGACACTGCTGTGCAGAGATGTTGGCAGCAATGGTCGATACAAGGAAATTGCCGACGAAACAAAGGCTCTGGAAAGCCAAGGAGCACAAATGCAAGGCAACATAGGATGATTGTTTTCCAGGCCCAAACCACCCTAACGGTATCATTGTCGACTATTGAACGCACTACAGCCACGTCTATACCTCCCTTGGTACCGTCCACCATCTCACGTTACTTGTCTGAGGCAGGGTTACGCTCACAGAGGAATTTAAGATGGTTGCCTTTGACCCCACAACATCGATGGTGTCGCAGCCGATTATCATGGCTGCCATCAGACTGGCATCGTATAGTGTTCAGCGACGAATCCCGCCTCACCCTTGAAGCAGATGACCACCGTGATCGTGTCTGGAGAAGACGGGGCCAGCGGTCCCAATGTGATACCATAATCACTAATAATAATAAGCCATAACTCCTAATGTGATGTTATGGGGCACTATTTCTTATGACAGCAGGTCATCTTTAGTCATCCCCCGTACATCTTTACAGGGTTTGTACACATTTCTGCACACGGAAATTAAGTACTTTTAAGGACTTTTAAGGACCATTAATGAAAAAATTAAGGACCTATGAGCATATGGGAACTGATTAAATTCAATTAAAAATATTATTCTATGCCTGAATTTCACTTTTCTAATACCATCCTAAAAATAAAATAGATCCATAAGTAGTATGCCTTATTGCCAAACATAAATTAATTAACATAATTATTAATAAGTTTGAGAATAAAATAAACTTCATGCAGTTTATCAAGTAGTGTTAAATATTTTACAAGCAGCATTTATAATAGGTTGGACATATTTGAAAGAAAATAAGTGACGTTTACGTTTTACTAATAGTTAGCTTTATGTTGATTTTTTTATGTCTTATTTTGTCACATACTTGGTCAGTCTAAAGCAGAGGTTCTCAACCGGTGGTACGCAAGAAAAAATAGGTGGTACACAAAGAAGCAAAGTATTTTTAACTATTTATTTCAAAATTAAAACCCCAACATCCTGATTGAGTTTTTTCTCTAACAGTCGTAAATTGATGTGATCTGAGCTTTGTACACGAGTGGTGGTGGTGGTAGTACTTTGGTGGTACTAAAGGGTTTCAATTTTTATTCAGATAGTACACATTAGTCAAAAGGTTGAGAACCGCTTGTCTAGAGGTTTAGTGAATAGCAGGTGGATTTTATGTCGAATGGCATAGGTTAAAATGAGAAGTACCATAATCAGCATTATTCATAATAAAAGACTGAATGTTATCACCACTGCTGCTTGTCTAGAGAGAGACCTGCTGATTAGAAAAAAACCTGAAAGCCATGATGTAGGCACGGTTGGCAAGTGCTAAATGTTAGTCAGGCTCTGATGCAGTTAGTGTCATAGCTTCGTGTAGAGTTCCAGGGGTTGTAACCCAGTTAATATACTTTCAGGTTCCAATAAGCCATTAAAGCACCAGAGGTGATAAGCTGCTTTGTATTAAGTCTCACTAGATGCAAAGAATAAGCTTTACTTGAGTTTCTACATTTTTGTGTTTTATCTTGTGACCACAGTGAGTTTTAATGATAGGCAATAACTCGCTTTAATATGTAGAGATAATTTTTAAAGGTAAGCACTTAGTTATAAATAATTAAATTAGGTAAATAGGCAACCTTAGTCATGGATTTACATGGCCACTATTAAATTTTATTTTTTAACAATATTTGTTAAAAAAAGCCCTATCAAAATCAAAATCTAATAAAATTTCACAGTTGAAAATACATGTTATTTATGACACTGATTCTTAAATGATATTAGAATAATTACACATTAAAAGCTACAAAACATTTATGTTTTGTAACAACAAC